CCCAGCCCCCCGCCCCCCACCGACGTCGACTCGGGGTCCACGCTGGCCAGCAGCACAGTCCAGGGCGCGTCTGTGGGGGGAGAGGGAGGTGGCAGGAGGACCCGACCTGCAGGACACCAGGGGCCTCTGCCTGGTGGCAAGCTGGCTAATGAGTCCCGTGGTCCCCAAGCTCCCTGCAGCACCCCATTTCCCCCCTCATCACCCCCTGCCCACCACCCTGGGCTGATACCGGAGGTGGGAGCAGCCCCTTACTGTTCTCCGAGACCTCCACGACGTAGCGGAGCAGGGGGCTGTTGCCGTCGAAGGGCTTGGCCCAGGTGAGGTTGATGGCCCGTTTCTCCAGGGGGCTGAGGGTGGCTACGGGGCTAGTGGAGGACTCTGGAAGGCGCTGCTGGGAAGGGTGCAGGTTTTCCTAGCAGAGTAAAAAGCTAAAAAATCCCAAATAACTGGTGAGGGGGCATTTTTTCATTTTATCGGGGCTGCAAGATACCCTTTTTGGAACAGAATTTTATACTTTTCTCCATTAACCCACTGCGGTTTGGGGGCTGTTGGGCCACGCTGGGACTTGCGCACCCTCACATCAGTCTTTATTCTTCTTGGTCATCTGGAAGTATTTATCACTTCCCTGAGAGAAGACTTCAGCCCCTTGTACAATATATTCAACTGCTTTATGAGAAGTAGAGAGAGAAGCTGGCCTCGCCAAGGATAACAGCAGCCTTTCCTCTGGACTTTGCCCAGAAAATGAGCTACCCTCCTCTTTTCTCTGTTTGTTGAGGAAACTTGATTTGAAAAAGAACCTCATGACAGGTGGCACTGCAGGACCAGGGCTGGGGACGGCGGCACCCGCCATCCCGCTCCCCCCCCCAAGGTGGGCAGGCAGCCTGGGGGTGCCAGGACCCCCCAATCCCCTCACACATACCTGACATCCACGCTGGGGTCGTGGGTGACCCCGCAGCTCATGACAGCCTTGGTCCCCTTGATGACGCTCTGGTCCTGCGGGGGGTCGGTGATGCGTGTCCTTGCTGTGGGGGTGGGGGGGGGACAGGATGG